TTCTTCAACTTCACTAAGTAACTTCTACTACTTCACTATGCATTATTCTTCCACTACTTTATTACTCATCTGCTATATATTTAATCTTGTAACTCACCTCCACTCACATTCATGAGATTAATTATCTACTACTTGTCATTTAAGAACAATTATAACCTATGTATAAAATTGTACCTATAAATAGGACTTGCATTTGTGTTGTGATGCAAGTGAAGGAATACAATAGTTTTCTCATTTTCTTTCCTTTATCTTTCTCTACTATACTTTTATGGTCCCATTTCATAAGATTTATCAGTACACAGTGCTCTAGTAATTGAGAGGTGCTATAGTAAGGCTCATCATCCCGGAAGGTAAATTTACATATCACTTTCATATTGATTTGTTTCATAACTATTCCATTCTCTTAATTTTCATTTAAATTTTCTCACAAGACTTGAGCTTGTGGCTCTTGACATTAATGGAAAAAATTATTTATCCTGGATATTAGATGTGAAAACCCATATAAATGCTAATGATTTAGAAGACCAATCAAGGAAGTAACCAAGCATCCAACCAAGATAAAACCAAAGTCATGATTTTTTTACGTTACCATTTCCATGAAAGAGTCAAGATTGAATATTTAACTATAAAAGACACATTTGTTCTTTGAAATAGTTTAAAGAGAGGTATGACTACTAAAAAAACTGTAATTCTTCTTGAAACTTATTATGACTAGATGTATTTATGTCTGTAAGATTTTAAATTTGTGATTGAATAATTCTGTAATATACTTACATGCTACTCCATACGAAGACATCTCTTCTAAATATAATTCTGTAACCCAATACTGCTGTTAAGAATTAGCATAGCAAGGCAAAATCCCTTTCAAATATGATTTCACCATAACATGCCTCCTCCCCAAAAAAAAAAAAAAACCCCCCGAAGACCTTTTATTTTGAAACCCAAAATCGAGATGTGAAAAAAGGACCTTATTTTTTCGAGATCCACTTGCCAGTGAAGAAAAAAAATTTCATTTATTTATATCGAAGAGATACATGTTCTTAATGATATGATCATAATTACTGTCTATACAATGAGAGCCCTAAAATTGGACCATTCATATATATGGAGAGGGACAATATAGATTCCTTATGCAGTACCACACTGTAAATTTTCCCCCGGGGGGGGGGGGGATCTGAAGAAATGTGTTCAATTTTTTCAGAAAAAATTAAATAAGCATTTTGCTATAACAGAGCTCTGTATGTTAGCATTCAATTCATATTGTTTTATCCTTTTATCAATTATTAATAATTCTTGAAAAGCGAAAAATTTGGACAAATTATGCAAGAACAGAACATAGGGATATGGCTAAAAACAAAATAATAATCTATACCCAGCTAGTTTGCACTTTATGAAATAAACATATGAGAATAATTTCATTTCATAAAACATAAAAAATATTAAAAATGTACTCAAATTAAAATTATGATATAAGTGCACTTTATCACCCTGTAATGGCCTTTTTATCATATATTGATGATGTTTTTTACGCAAGATACGAATAAAAAAGAAAACCTTTTTATCTTTGCCTAACACTAGAGAAATATAATGTAGTTATTAGAATATATAGCCAATTGTTTTACTGATCACAAAGAGACTAAATGGATTGGAAGTGCAGAAAAAGCAGTCTCCCAAACGGTTCAAATAAAGGTTCATAGTCTCATGATAACAAGATGATAATTAAGAGCCAGCAATGAATTAGTTTATACTCCTATCCATAATATAAGACCTATTTAACTAATTTAATTATATTATAAAAGTTAGATAAGTTAATTAATTATAAAATATGAGATGTTTCTATTAAAATATCACAATCATCTATTTACTATCATTTCCTATCTTTTATTTGATTATAGTTTAGGAGATCTAAAAGAATAATTCAAAAAAAATTGATAAATATAAAAAATAAATCTAACATTTAAGACAAAAATCAACTCAATAATTACATATTGGAGGAATATATAGATTTCTGAAAATGGGAAAAATTGGAATCTTGGACAATTACAGAATTTACAGGGAAGAAGATGATGATGAAATAATATATATATATATATATATATATATATATATATATATATAAAGGGGTAAAGTAGATCCTACAACACAAAATGTGTCATGGGTTTTATGCTTGGACTGAACTCATGGGCATGGGTTCGAGCTGGCGGGATCTGTGATTGTGATTTTTCCCAACAAATCAAAATAATTCGTAAAATCTATACTATCATTCGCACAGGATACCAACTGTTTTTTTTGTCACGACAAAATCGAACCTTTTCATCAGTTTCATTAATCATAAATTAGGCCTGTAAAACTTACCGATTTTATTAGGTAATATATAGAGACTATAAGTCACAGAGTTAAAGCAACAAAATTATGGCTGTATATAAAACAATTGCTAGTAGCAATATATCTATGGTCTGTATATAACAAATGTTTAGCTTCACTTGTATTTTCAAACTATAGACACCATATTATTTTTCTTCACTCCTCATAAGAATGTAAACCTATCCTTTTTCATGGGTTATGATTGATCCTTGTCCCTTGTTGAATTCCTTTTCTAGGGATGAGTGAGAGGGTTATTGTTCACTAATGATAATCACAGCGATATCCCATCTATATATATAGAAACGATATGCCCATAAAAACAAAATAAATTAATGTAGAAAGTACTTTAAAAAAATAGAAAAGAAAAAAAAAAGAGAGGGGCAATCTCGTTAATATCTTTTTAACCCTCCTCATTTCTATAGAATAGCCTCTAAGAGGGCATACATATAGTAATTTCATTCTCTATTTCACACTAGAGCTGGTAATACGGGTTGGGCCCGCGGGCCCAGCCTGCCAGCCTGCCAAAAATGCGGGCTCGAGTTGGCAAATGCCAACCCGCCAAGGTGCGGGCTACTCCAGCCCGCACCGTTTTCAGCCCGCTTTTTTTTTTTTTAATTTTAGTTTTATATAATTTCTAATATATTATACAACATAATTGGAGGATTTTAACCCCCAAATTTCATATTTACATCTTCTCATCCATGTAATTGCATATGTATACATACATAAAGATCTACTTAATTAATTTGGATAAGAAAATAGTCAAATTAATTATTTAGAAAAAATATGTGTTAGTTTTTCTAAAATATCTTCTCAATTATAAATTAATCCTCACATTATTTTATTATAACTCATTACTCAAGTTTAAAACTCCAAGTCCAATTTAACATTACAACTAAGCTCAAACTTATACAAATAATATTTAAAAAAAAAAAAAGTTAGGCGGGCGGCGGGCTAGCCCGCCAGCCCGCCAAAGTGCGGGCTACTTCAGCCCGCACCGTTTTTAGCCCCACCGCTGCGGGCTGGCCCGTATCCGCACCGCACCGCCAGCCCGCATTCCCAGCTCTATTTCACACTAACTATGATCTATAAGTAGTTTTAACATGTTTCCAAGATGGGACATAACAAAATTCTATATAACAACCAATTCAATCATAAATCTGATATCTCCTTTTCATTTAATTTGTAACACAATTAAAATAAAGACATGATGGTTAGCGGTTTAATCCTAAAAACACAAGTTCGCAGATGAACCTCTTTTGAAACGAGAGAATGATATGTCGTCTTGAGTTTTGGGGTCGTGAATTAAGTTTTGTCAGATAGCATACAAAGTTGAAGGAGACTAATAGGCTTATCTTTAATAAGAATTTAAGCTTTTGACTTGATGGTTAGCATTTTGTTCTTAAGGTTTAGTATATTAGAGTTTGTACAAATTTGAATTCTACTATTGTAAAAAAATTTGAAAAACATTTGGTATTAGAACCTACATTGGTTCAAATCTCACTTACCCAAAAACTACCAACTAAGATTAGAGCCATGTAATTCTAGATAGGGAAGTAAGAAATTATGCACAACAGGATCGTCAAACTTGGGTACTATGTAGTTTTTTTTTTCCCCGGTCCTTATAAGAATTTGAACCCTATTTTTTTTTTCTTTAGGATTGTATTTGATCCTTGTCCATCTTCAAATTTCTTTTGAATTCCTGGTCATACATATCATGATTGTCAATCCTAAAGAAAAATTCAAATGTTCTAATACTTGATTAACAATCTAACATGTAATTATTGTTTTCAAACTTGAAAAGTAAGCAGAATCTACACAAATAAATATATTGTTTTTGGATCATTAAGTTTTTTTTTAACCTCATGTGCTACCTATAATTATATAATCTTTACCTTTAAGATTCTGTTCATGTAAAAGTCTTGAAAAAATTGGAATGTGTAAATTCTTCTATCCAAATTAAAATATAAATAAGATAGATTATAATTTGCTAGATTTGGTCATAAGTTTTCATTTAACCTTATGTGCTACTTACAACTATATAAATGAGATGGGATGTGTAACCACTATTAGCCTCCACATTATTAATATTTTTATAAAGTGTCAATCATTTAAACATCAAACTTAAGATATTTTTTTGAGATAAAAAAAATCTGAGATCTTTTTTGTATTTATGATAGAAATTAAAATAGAGTTATGATGGTTAACAATTTATTTATGAGATTTGGTATCAAAAGCCTTTACCTGACGAAATCACACTTCCTTCTAAAAAATAATTAGAACTCACACTTTAACTAAAAATAAATTAATTTTGATGCTCATTAGAATGATGAGTACCCCAAACTCATCATATGGACCATTCGGATTTAATTTGAATAATCCAGATTTAATTTTTAATTTTATTTAAATATAATTATTTTAATGAATATAAATAAAAATAATATTGTCATTAAAATTTTTTTAAAAAATTTTTTTATTTAAATATAAAAATAAAAAAATTAAATTTATACAATTTAAACATGATGAGCTTGGGTGTCCATCACTACCAGACCATTGAAACTCGTTTCCTTTGAAAAGACGTAAAAGTTCAATTACATGCTACTCCACAAAAACGACAAAAACCCAGTTAGAACTTTTGAGAGTAATTTCTCGTTTCTTCCTCGCTTCTCTTCCTCTTCGTCGCAGCCGTCCGGCGTTGTCCGTCCCTGTTGAACGTTTTACTACCCTCCTATCCTCCAGTTGCTCTGTCTGCGTGGCACTGCTTTTATTGTTTTCTCCTTCTGAGTCTACATGATTCTCTCGACCTAAAATCGCTGAAGTGGCTTCGTCTTCGTTTTTCTTAACTCCATCATTGGCCCACATTCTTCCAGCATCCCGTTGATCTACTCGAAGTTCGCCAGCTAGGTACCTCCTTTTCCATCTGCAGTAGCTACGAGATTCCTTTCTTTAATTATTCTGCCTCATTACTAAAGTAAATGAATTTAATTAGATGTTGAGCTCCTTGTGGCCGGATTGTGTGATACTCATGTGTCTGGTCTACATTATGCGTTTCTTTTGGGGTTTGGCTGGTTATATCTTGTTACCTTGTTTATTGATTGAATAGCTTCATGTTCTTTCCCCATAATGTATATGAACTTTCAGCACAAAAGGAAGAAGAAGAAGATTGAATAGTAGCAGCTTCAAGTTTATATATATTGTTCATCGATGGAATATATTTTGTTGATATATTCTTTTAATGGTTGGATATTGATTGAATATATCTCAGGTTTGTATTTATATGTATATTTTTGATAATTATGAAATCATAATTGTATATAAAATGTCATGTATAATTATATTTTATTAAACATTCTGCAAAGACATGTATAATAGGTAATATTTAAATCCCCCCTTTGTTGAACCGATCATAACCCTAAATTTTAATTTGTTACAGGTTACTTTTGGGCCAGATATAACATGTGTATTAGACAATGATAACTTGATAACTCAATTCCTTGAGCATTTGTTGTGAGTTTGTTCTTCATTCTTGCAGGGGCAATCTAGATGGCATGGATTCTGATAACTGGTTGTCTACTCTCTGTATGGGTAATTTCACTGTGCAAAGTTCTTCTTCTGGCGCATATGTGTAAAAGGAATTCTTTTAAGAAAAATGGTGCGTTCTTGTCCTAGGACTTGGGCTGTGTCTCTGTTAAATTTTTTTTTGTTTAATTATTTGTATGGTGAATTGCATCTCTGTTGGTCAATTTAATTTAAAGTTGTCATTTTCTCCCTCACTTGTAATCAGGTAAAGCTCTTCGAAAGAGAAATGTCTTGATAGTTATTGCGCACCCTGATGATGAGTCTATGTAAGTTTGCCATCATGATAATTCCTGCATTATTAATTCATTGTCATTGGGCAGTTGACCTCAAAGTAGCCGCTGATCATTGTATAACTTCAACTAACTTGTGGTTGCCAAAAGCTGCATCGATTTTGGTGCCTCTAAGCCAGCTGTTGTGTTAATGATTTCTATCTTTATCAATCACACAGTTATCACTAGTAGTATTTATTACGCCATCTGAAGTCTAGAAAGCATTTGGAAATTTTCTAAACAAGTCATTTGGAGCTGATGCATAAAAAATCTGAGTCAAATTCATGGGAACAACTATTTCATCCATCAAGAAAAGGTTTTGGGGAGCGAACTTTACTGTTAGATAAATTGTAGAGATTCTCTAAAGAAGAGAGAAAGAAGAGAGAGAAGGAAATTGAGAGGACAAAATTATGCCGAGAGGTTTGTATTACTTGATTAATTGAGCTGTTGTGCAAGGCCTTCTATAGTTACGCAGACACCAAACATATAACAGTTCATAACAGATAACTATTCCTAAACTAACCCAGCTTCTTAACTAACATCTAACAGAACTTTACTTGACTGTGGAATTGATTGATTCTTGAGTTCCCCTGTGAAACTTCATCTGTAACATAACAGTTCCCGCATGTCTGATGACTTCATATTTTTTCCCCCACTAAACTTAGTTATTTCAATGCTTTGATCGTACCATATAGATTTTTGATTTTCCAAGGTATGGTTTCAAATTGTGCTGAAATTTTGCTTGGTTTCTGCAGGTTCTTCACTCCAACGATAAATTATCTGATTTCAAGGGGGCATTATATTTATATTTTATGCTTATCTATTGGTAATTTACTTGAACAATCTGCTTGGGCTCATAATTGGCAGAAGTCATCGGACATGCACCAGCCTTGATATATTTGCACACATGACTTTATTTCTAGTCTTTGTTTAGTCATCAGTGAATGTTTTTCAGTTTCCCATATGATGTTCTTTCTTGACATATTTTGTTGTTTTCCTTTAAAAGAGTATCTTTATTGTTCCATATTTAGCAAGTTCGGCTACTGTCTTTACATAGTGAGGCTGATGACTATGCGGTGATGAGCATTATATACCACTCCACCTTTTGTTTATTTAGTCATGCAGATAGTATGTTTTGATTTGAAATACTGAACTTGTGTAACCAGATGGTTGTAAATGTACATATATATTCAGCAAACCTAAAGAAGATTAAAGAATTAAGAGGCTGGCTTTAGCAGGAAGACGTGCATAACTCATTTAGGTTCAAGTTGCTGCTGTTTGTGCATTTAAATATTCATTTTTATCTAGCATTGTCTTCTTCCTTTTGATTATTTGAAGATTCTCCACAAATAAAGCTTTAAGGTCAGAAATAGCATTTTGTGTATGCCATTCAGGGCTACAAAGTTGCAATTTACTAAAACGATTCAATCCTTTAAATTCACTCACCCAACATTCTAGTAGAATATTGAGTTGAAATTTTATGTCAAGTTGAAATAAGCTGTCGAAGGTTGGTTAAGTAGTAAGATTTGTTAGATGGTGGAAGTGTAACTGGATAAATATTCAACTGTAAGGGAAAAACTAGAGGCAGAAATTCCTGACGAGAAAAAGTTCAAGGATTAAATTAATGGGCGAAAGGAATTAAAATCTTCTAGAGGGTTCCAATATCCAAGAATGATGAAGAGGAGGAAGTTTCCAAAGCTACTCCAAGAATTTTGTCAATTTATTTAAGTTTTGCCTTGCATCAGCCCACCAGCAAACTTAGAATCCTATTCATCTCTGTCTATTGGGCTTTGGAAAGTTAGTAATTGGTAAGGAAAATCTAGCTTAGGGACCTAGGATACTAATTGATAAACATTTCCTTTTGTATCAAATTTCTGCTTGTTATCACAAAAACCAAGTTTGAATATGTGGTTTAGAGAAAGATAGACTTTCCTGTCTAGCCATTACGCAAGGGTGATGTCCATATTTCAATCCTTTATAGTTTTCTTGATGCAGGTGATGCAGATAATAGAGGAAGAATCAGAAAACGAGAGCTCTTTCAAGCTTGTGCAACCCTCAAGGTAACTTAAAATGTAGCTATTTTTTTATCTTGCCCCTGTCATAAAGCTGTTTCATATTTTTTTGTCTTGTAGAATTTTTAAGTGCGTATAACTTTCCAATTGTAAGGCAACATTCATTTGTTAGCCCTAGGCAACCATTTTTCAGTGTTCTTTTAAAACAGATTGGGGTAGAAGATGCCAGGCAATTTCACATGGCTGTTGTTTGTTTGGTATGTGAAATTTTGTATGTAGGTTCCGATGCAACAAGTGAAGGTTGTGGACCATCCCGATCTGCAGGTTCTAATCTAATAATTCTCTTGAGCTTAGTGAAAGTTGTATCACGTAAATTACTGTTAGTTCCATTCAAAGCCATTGTTTAATTCATTATCTTCGCTAGGATGGTTTTGGTAAAGTTTGGAACCACAAGTTGGTGGCAAATCTTGTCAAGGAAGAAATAGGCAAGTACAACATTGATATGGTAAGATAAGATGATGATTTTGAATGAACTTGTCAAAGTTGAATCTTTGCCTCCACGTTGTCATTACTGGGCGTGGGAACATATTTTTGGACTCATGAGCTTCTTTCTTGGCTTTTGCTTGTTTGCAATTTGCCCAGATTATCACTTTTGACAATTATGGTGTTTCCGGTCATTGTAATCATCGTGATGTGTACTATGGGGTGTGGTAAGTTTAACTCTTTCTTTTCTTAAAGAAAACTGAATTTGATCAATGATAACATAATCAAAACTGGAAAAAACTCGCAGATATACCCTCTGTTCAATATGAGATAATTTTAACATAAAAGGTGATGTAAGATTGTAATAAAAGGGGTATCGATTAGTTAGTTTAGTGAATTAGGTAGGGCTAGAGTTGATGAAAAAAGAACCAAAAAGCTCATTGTAATTTTTGAAATGATAAGAATTGAGTCTTTTTTCTCTGCTTCTCTCTCTGTCTCTCTGTCCCTTTCTTCTATTTCCCTCTCTTTCCCTCAATCTCTCTCTCTTTCCTACCCTTATTCTATAACAAAAGGTTTTATAGAATTTGATATATCAATATGTGCCAGTTCTGATCTGTGGAACTCGTTGCTTTTCTTCTCACTCTTTGCCCTGCTAATGATAGACCCATTTTCAGATTGCTGTGCTAGTAGTGCTATTGTGGGGGAAGGACTAGATTTTCCTTCCTTATTTACAAATTACAGGACCTAATACTCATTTGGAAGCTCATTTTCTATTTCATATATCATTTTTCTCTCTGAATATTTGGAGGTAATAAAGTTCATAAATTCTCGTGAAGTTGCTGTGTGGGTTACCATCGTAGAAGTACTCGCCAATAGTACTTTAATGATCCATGGAAAGTACCAACGAGATGATAGGTCATCAGAATTTAGACATGAGGATGTGAATAGTAATCTATATATGAGATTAATGCGGTTGACTTGTCGAATTTTAATTTCCTTTCACTTGATACTTATCAATTCTCTTTTGTGTGGTCTAAGCAGCGAGTTATTATATGATATACCACACAGGGAAATTGAAGCCTGGGAGCTGGTATGTTTTCTGTTTACTTTTTTGATGGTGATTAGTTGTCTCTAAGACTTGTTCAATTTGACATGTTTGCTTGGCGCGCCATATTTTCAGGTTAGCACCAACATATTGCGCAAGTACATTGGACCTATTGATGTCTGGTTGTCCGTGTTTGTTGCTATGCTTCATTCAAATGAAACAATCCAGTTCTTGGTAAATGAGCATCCCTGTAGAAGCTTTCTTGCTATGGCCCAACACTCAAGTCAGTGGGTCTGGTATGCATGCTTTTACTTATTATCACCATAAAGCAGTACCCGTCTTTCTTTAGGAGTTTTCCTTCTTCAGTCTTTGTCCTTCCTCTTTGATCTTGGACCATCCTATAAATTATACACAGCTTCTATGACAATTGCGCGTAGATTGCCTTCTTGAGGTGTATTGTCCGACATGAAGGGTCTTGTTTGGGTTTGACTTGGCTTAGTTAATAAATATGTAAGTTTGAACATGTTAAACTTGTTTGGTTAAACAAGAAAAGCATGAGAGTTTTGAATGTTCAATAATTTAAATCACATAACTTTGTTTGGTAGAAAGTAGAAAAATTCATTTGTTTGAGTCATTGGAAACTGAAAACAATTGATGATTGCATTTCTGCAGGTTCCGCAAGTGTTTTGTAGCAATGTCGAGCTATACATATATGAACACACTCAGAAAGATCAAGTGAAGTTACTGCATATAAAATATCTTGTGTTGCTAGTGAAGCGAGCAGCTTTCTAATACATGCTTGATGCCCTTCTGTACAGCCAGCTTTATCACATGTTTCACATATTGGTTATGGAGGATATTAGTTCTATCCCTTTTATTGAGTTTTCACTTCTTTCCCGTGCTATTGCATGAACAGTAGTTTCCACCTGTACTAGTTTTTCTCCTGCTGATTTGGTCGTTAGAATCTTGTAACTAGATTATTGTTCTACAAAACTTGAATCTGAATGTTGAGAAAATGGGCATAGTTGCATCCATAGTAGCAGCTCCTGATGCTCTTACTAATTTACATCCACAGCATCTCTAATTTTACAATTTGTTTTTTTTTTGCCAGATAATTTTATAATTTATGTTAGAATGACCTTTGACGTTTATAAAATTTGCCGTCACATTTAGTTATAAAACGACCTACACCAATCTTTATAAAGGTGATATGTAAGCGTAAGAAATATGGGAGTGAAATAGCATATCAAAAATTCAAAATGAAAACTTCGTTGTGGGGACGTATTTGTTTTCTTTAAAAGCTGTTGTAGTAGATGGAGTCTGAAAAGTAACTTACAATAGATTTCTTGAAGCTTTCATATTATATATTGGTAGATTGATACAAAGATTCAAAATGCAACGGGCATGGCTTCGAAGCAAACTTTAGAGAAAAGGATTGAATACTGAGCATCTCAACTGCTTTCATATAATAATTGGCGATAGACTTGACATTTTACAAGATATTGAATTGAATTAATTAATAAAGGGAAAATTATAATAAAATCTTTATAAAAAAAAAGTCCCAAAAATTACTATTTCCTATCTTAATACTTGTCATTACAAACTGTTTAGGTTATTATTAAAAAATTTAATAATTATTTTCCTTCTTTAGAATCTTATTATAATTCTCCTACTAATAAAAGTATAAAACCAAGATAGTCTCATGAAACATGTCAATAAAATAACATTTTTGTCCCATTTGTACATCAAACAATTTTGGATTCCAGCTCGTTTAATCTCCATCAAAACCTGTACTTCCAAGAACTTCACAGGCATTCTTCTCGCACTCCAGTTTGCCCCATCTTGCATCCACTCGTTCGCAGGGAAATATCGGTTTGCCGAGGCTGTGATAATACCAAGAACGTAACAGCTCAGATGTTCAAGTTCTATAACCAATGCTAGATCACTTGAATTCTCTTTGCAGCTCAACATCGCGTTTTGAATTCCTTCAAAACCGAGTTGTTTGATGTGACCAATGGCTTAAAATTACAGGCGGGATTGACCTTACAACTTCTTACTTATCAGGGAGCTTTTATGTTACTAAGTTATAAGGCTATTGACTGATGTGACAAAATTTTGAGACACAGATCAGGGAGCTTAAACAGGTGAAGCCGAAAGAGGAGTCTCTGTTTTAGTGACACAATGAACAATAACATCTTTAAAATACAAGCTTACCTTCTATTAACAACGTTGTGCACATGACATAACCATTGGGAAAACTCAGCTTGAGATCCAGCCTGTACTGGATTTGCCCTGCTTAACATACAAAAGAACACATAATATGTATACACAGAATGGAATAATAGCAAATAATCATGTTGATTAAAAGCAAAAGAAAATTAGCTTATTTTCGTATTTTGGCCAGCAGATTATGTTCAAAACCTTGAAGAGATGCCAAGGAATCCCTCAAATGATGTCAAAAGGGTTATTTTTTTCAGTTCAATTTTACACCAGTCAAGGTTCACGAAGTGAAATTTTCAAACATGCCACTGCATGGTTGATGCTTGATGTTAAAATCATTTGTGGACCGTCAAAATAGCTACAGAAGCTCCTTAATTGCTTGTCACAGGCTTTCAGAAACAGATCCATGAGCGGATAACAGCTTCCAAGTGAAAAAAGACTAAGATGGTTCAGACTTCAGAAGAAGTAAGATGTGGGGCTATCCCCTTGTAATCAAAGACATTGATCTGTATATGCTGAGTGAAAATGCTCACTTACCCATTTCTAGTTAGTAATTATCATATAATGTTCCAAACGAAAAATAATATACCTTAAAACTTCTTTAAAGTGATCTGCGCATTCCTTGCAAGGGTACATTCGAGATAAGATTCCCATCTACACCCCAAACACAACCCGTTGGTTCAATAAGAAGATTGTGATGCACCACAGCTAATATGCTTTTAAGTTACCCGTGAAGGGAGTCAGCTGGATGCAAAGGGAATTATGATATATAACTACAGTTTAACGAGGACAGGCATCGGAGGAAAATACCATACCAGTTCTTTTACATCCTTCTTTTGTTGCCTTGTAGGATTATCTGGATACTGAGAAAAGAGACCACGTTGTTGAGAAGTCTAAACATTTCCAGACATCAGAGCACATATAGTTCAACCATATGGAATTATGGGGGGAAAACAAAAGCATGTAGCAAAATTTAAAGCAATAAAAGCTAGTCCTTTGCTAAGAGCAGGCTGTTGTCTTGCAGGTTCGGCCAGAGTAGACGATGTTCAATAAGAAGCTACAGATGCAAGAAACGATAAGATAGTGAATATGTAGTTTAAAGCAAGCAACAAAGGAGAAAACCAATCCATTATTTTAAGCATAATATATGGTTGTTATAATACAGGGAAACAAACAATTCCAAGATAGTCAGACAAAATTTCAGTCATTCATAAAAGACTGAACCAGGAAGAGAAACAGCTTCCAGTATTGTTGCTTTCTGGCGAAATGTCGAGATATATTCTGTCAAGGATTTATTACAACGAAGCACAGCTTCCCAATTACGAGGCAGAAAGTGCAATTAGTTATAGGAACATTTCAAATGAAGCAAGACAGCCAAAAGGGGAGGAAAATAAACACTAGTACATTGGTCTTCTTCTCACACACAAAATAATTTAATTTTAATATGATGAGCGACAAAAATTTAGTAAACACAAAAAGATAAAACATAATAGTTAGAAACATAAATGCAAATTGAAGCATAAAAAAAGCAATTGGAGTGACAACCTGAGCAGCAAGAGTATGAAGAAAAGTCCAAGTAGCCCTTCCAAGCTCCTCTTTAGTCACTGGTGTAGCAGCAGATTTTATCTGTAGAAGCAAATGATAAAAAGTAGAGCGATCACTACCCCCCTTGTATGCACAAAAATACACTCTACGTGGAAATGAAAGAAGATACATTGCCCATCTGAATCTGAATTTTTAATCACTTTTTGTTTTTTTCTTAATCAGTAAATGCTTCATATGATTATGAAAAGTAGTCCCTCACATGAACTCCAATATATATATTAGACGAAGAGAAATCTGAGAACACACAAATTGTACTTCAAGTATATGAATTCAGACACAACTTCTCATAGATCGGCTATTGGATAAACCTTTTGTTAATAAAAATCCATAAGACGCATCATTTATTTTGTGAGAAAATAAATAGGAAAGAGTAAAAGGCAGTAAATGGAAGACTAACTACTCTCGTTTTTGTATCCAAGAACCAATGTAAATTCAGTCAACAGCATACTGAACCAAGGGACGAGGAGAACTATTTCAACTCAGTGCATGACCAGCATTATAATAGTAAGGTCGAAGTTTCTCGCAAATAACCCATGAACTAACAAATTAAAGCACTTTGGATACGACCTATCCCCTGTATATCTTGCCTAGTTGCAAAATGGAATTGTTTTGAAAGAAAAGAGTGACAGGTCACAAAGTAAATTCATCGCAAAAAATGATTACACACAGATCATTTAAAACATAATTTAAGTAAATCATATTTGATTAACCTCTCCTTACTATAATCTCCGACGGCAGCTACATCGCCCCATCACCTCACAAGCACAAATTCTGACATATATTCTATATGCGACAACTAAAGCAAAGCATAAACTTCGTTACAGATAAGCAGAGCATCGTTGGCAACTGTAAATACAGCAACTACAGTGGACTTCAATTCAAAACCCAAAAAATGCAAACACAAAATCAACTTTATGACAAACCCACAGAAAAAAAACAAATTTGGAATTCGGAGCTGGAAAGCGATGAGAACCGCGAACCTTAAGAAGGATATCATCGGGTTGGACAAAAGAATCAGCTTTCGCAGATTGGAATTTGTGGGGGGAAGAAGAGATGGAAAAAAGCGGGGCTTTAGCAGACGAAACTGGCTGGAGATGAAGGCCTATGAACCTAGTAAGGTGATGTTGAATGGAATATGAAACCTTCTCAAAGGTTTGAACGAGAACCTGTAATGGATTCTCAGACATACTGCTTGACAGAAGAAACCAGGTTATCCTGACATTCTGTTCTTTTTGTTTTTGGTTTTGAACCCGAAAACTGTACAAAGTAGCCGCGAACAATCGGAGACGGGACCGGACCAATGATGGTAATTATTTAGGCTTTTCTTAAAAGCAAATTAAACATTTTAAAGTATTTTCTATAACATTTAAACAAAAGGATAATTTACATATAGAAGGGCATGTTAGTTTCCAAATCAAGAGAATTAAATTAAAAATAGTTTTAGCTCAAAAAATATACAAATAAATTCAAACCTGATTTAACTTTGTATAAATGCTTCGAATTAACATGCTTTATCAAAAAAATTTATTCTTTAGGCTGAATTCTAGATATTATGAAAAAGCATTAATTACGAATATTACTAATGCTGTATTGCCTCATTTTGATAATACTCTGTCAAGTTAAACATATAAGAATCAAGTCCTGGAAACGAATTTGGTTTTTTTTTTTAGGCATTACTTTTGAATCTGTTTAATCATTTAATATATATAATTTTTACTCTTAATTAACTATGTTTATCTCGTATCTTTTTTCCACTCATTCTTTTTTCTTCTTAAAGCTCTCCATAGTTAAAGGTGTTTTAAAAAATTAAATTATATTTTTTTACATGTTTATTATCTTTGACCATTTTCAACTAGTATTTTAAATTGTGTGAATTAATTATTTGATATTTATATTTTGAATGGGAGAGAGTGATAAAGTAGGGAGGATGTTTTTGTAAGGAGTATTAAATCATATGACAAAACAATCCAGTTAAACGAATACAAAAAAGAGTTAATTTTCATTTTTTTTAACTCTTGGTGTATCTTGTCAAAAAGTCTCAGAAAACTTTGTTTTTATTTATGAAAATTAGTTTTTTAATGGTTTTAAATAAAAAAAGTTAACCCGCTTGATTTTGCTGACGTTATAAAGTAATAAAAAATGGTTTTCACTGCCGCGTTAATCACTTAATTGGTTCGTCTCACTCTGTTACTTCTAATTAGGGGGTGTTTGGTAATACGCTGAAACCATAGTTTTGGGACCAAAATTATGGTTTGGGTCCCAAATTTCCCAAACAGTGAGAAAAATTAACAAATCGCGGTTCTGGGTTCAAAACCATGGTTTCAGAAAAAATGAATTCACTCTGTTTCTGGTTCAAATTGGAGAGTATGACTGTGCCTGTCAGAATAGATCTTAATGATAATATGACTTTAACACCCCTCAATTATTTTTTATAAACATATTTAATCTTATATTTATAAATATATATACACATATTAATTATTTATTAATTACATTATCTTATATATTATTAATTGTGTTGGTAAAAAATATATTATTAACAATTTTATTCCTTCAAATTAAAATATACTATAAAATCTATCTTATATGTGATTATCATATTAACTTATACTTTTTTAGTAATTTGTATATATAAAAAGTGCTTCTGATAACAACTATCCAAACACCCTCACTTTATCAGAATCACTTTTTCACAAAATCTATTCTCCTAAGAATCTATTCTCCAGAAGCTATTCTCCAAATCATGGTTTGGTTTTATCCAAATACCCTCTTAATGCTAATCTTGTGCTTAATGGATTATCCACGCTTTAAAGTCAATGTTTGCCAGTGAAAAATTCTTTTTGTTCCTAACGCATTATTGAACTTTTTGAAAATCTTGTCTTTAAGCCTTACACTGCAGTACTGCACTTAACGAGTTAACCACCTGGCTTAACAATAAAGCTGACTTCTGGCTTTTACGCTATATCGTAATGTAAGAAATGGATTATAATATAATTTTTCATAAATTTATTATAGATTAGTTAATTATTAATTACAGTAATACTCTACAATCTATATAATCATCAATCAATTATTAATACTACCTCCGGTCATAATTATAAGACCTAATTGACTTATTTGAAGAGATTAAGGAAGCAAGTTAAGTTAATTATTTGTAATAAATAAATGTTGTCATTCTTAAAATATCTTTACTAATTAAGTATATTGGCTAGAACTATCATTATTAGAAGGACTATCTTGGAAAAAAATACATAAATATAATAGACAGAATGGATTGAGGTTTTATAATTAGGACCAAACAAAAAGTGAAACGATGTTTTATATTAAGGGCCTGTTTGGGTATCCCAAAACCGTGGTTTTAGAAGCACTTTTTCGCAAAACGAGATAATCTCATCCACATATTTACTTCGCAATCTGTAAAAGCACTTCTGAAACCATGGTTTGGTTTCTATCCAAACACGCCCTAAGTACCGGAGATAGTATAAAATATTGAATATATGACAAACCACGTAACATTGTAGGTAGAGCCGGGAATCAGGGCCGGCTCGGCCCTCCAGGGCTGGCCCTTCAGGGCTGGCGGGCTTAAAAGGGCCGGCCCTCCAGGGCTGAAATTTTAAAAATACCCCAATTTGCTAAGCCCGGCCCTTAAGCTACAGGGCTAGGGCCGGCCCGCGGGCTTTTGGCCCGTTTAAGAAAAAATACTATTTTTTATATTTATCATATTTTTTTATAAAAATATAAAAATAAACCAATGAAATTATTAATAAAAAACATAAATATGAATAAAATTAAGTCACAAATATAAAATATTATCATATATAAATATTCATCAACATCTAAGAACATCTAAAATATTCATTAACAAGATAACAACATCTAAAAGTTTTATCTATAATGCAATTGTGCAATAAATAAACACTATCATTAATCTTTTGAAACTTCATCATCACTATAATTAATTATTTTTCTTCATAAGTATGCTTTTCTTTCGTAACAAAAATATCAAGTTTTTCTTCTTTATAAGAATTTTATTTTTAAATTTTGCAATCTAACTATTATTTTACTTTAATGTGAGAAACATTGTTGTTGAAACTCATGAATTTCTAATTCAAATTATAGAATCACAAGTTATATAAGTATTAAAATATTCTATTATCAAATATATATATAGTTTAAAAATATCAACGCATATAATATAAATCAAATCATTATTAAAGTCCAAATTAACCCATTTTTTAAAAATTTAATTGGATAAATTATTGTCTAAAACTAAATTTAATTTTAAAATGATAATAATAACTAAATATTTGAAATATTATTAACAATGCAAAAAATTAATAACATTAATATTATATAAAAAAATTTAAAAAAAAAAAAAAAAATTATAAAAGGGCTTAAAAGGGCCGGCCCGTGGCCCTCCAGGGCCGGCCCTTTTAAGCCCTCGGCCCTCCAGGGCCAGCCCTCTAGGGCTTATTTCTCATTTTAAAAGAAAAATATCAAGCCCGGCCCTCATAATTTCAGGGCCTAAAAGGGCCGGCCCGACGGGCTCGGCCCGTTTTCCCGGCTCTAATTGTAGGCTGCAGTCTCACATTTTTCAAATTTTGTGAAGCAAAAGGGAATGTGTAATTGACGCATTCATTGATTCTTCACCATCACATGGAGGGGCGGCTCGAGCACGAACATCAAAAGAAGTCAACCCTTTTCTTTTGGAACTTTACATGATTTGCAGGCTAGAGGAAGCGATGGTAATAGATTCCCATCCGTGGAGAAAACGGATCATTAGCTCTGAAACGAGGCAACCACTCGCTAATAATCCTTGCAAAGAGGTAATTTTTCTCTGTTTTATATGAGAAAATCTGCTTCGGCGCCTGTTTGACTGGGATTAAGCTGGGAAGATTGAACTGTAATGACCTCCCATTGCCAGAGATCCCTCGATGTATAGAAATCATCAGTTCTGCTGTATTTGATTCATCCGGGTGAGTCAAAAGAATTCAAATCTTAATCACCCCTCACCTCTCTATTATCGGTTGGATTGGGAATGGTTAGCGATGTGAGTAAATCGAATCCAAAACTAACATTACTGCCTCTCATAGCTCTGATATTCTATGAAGTCTCTGGCGGTCCTTTTGGAGTAGAGGATTCGATTAGGGCTGGAGGTGGTCCTCTCTTGTCGCTGCTTGGTTTCTTGATATTCCCTCTAATCTGGAGTATCCCTGAAGCCCTGATAACTGCCGAACTTGCCACAAGCTTCCCCGACAATGGCGGATATGTTCTTTGGATATCATCAGCTTTTGGACCTTTCTGGGGGTTTCAGGAAGGATTCTGGAAATGGTTTAGTGGGGTTATGGATAATGCTCTTTACCCAGTTTTGTTCTTGGATTACTTGAAGCATTCATTGCCAATCTTTGACCAAATGATTGCAAGAATCCCAGCTCTGTTAGGGATTACGATTTTGCTCACTTACTTGAATTACCGTGGCCTTCACGTTGTTGGGTTCTCTGCTATTTTGCTTGCAGTTTTCTCCCTTCTCCCATTTCTGATAATGGCTATTCTTGCCATTCCCAGAATTAGGCCAAGTCGTTGGCTTATTGTAAATTTCAAGGTGGTGGATCTGAGAGGATACTTTAATAGTATGTTTTGGAATTTGAACTATTGGGACAAGGCAAGTACACTTGCAGGGGAGATTGACAATCCCAGTAAAACATTTCCAAAGGCACTTCTTGGAGCCGTAGTGCTAGTGGTCTCCTCATATTTGGTTCCTCTTCTTGCCGGAACAGGTGCTTTCAGATCTGAGCCTAGTGAGTGGGCAGATGGTTATTTTGCTGAAGTTGGAATGTCAATAGGTGGCTTTTGGCTCAAAGTATGGATTCAAGTAGCTGCTGCCATGTCTAACCTTGGCTTGTTTGAAGCAGAGATGTCCTCTGATGCTTTTCAACTTCTTGGGATGAGCAAGATGGGATTTCTTCCAGCTGTATTTGCTTCAAGGTCTGAACTGAAACTATACTTGATTTTTCTTTCTTAATCATACAATTCAGGGACTACGTGTTCACTCTTTCCTTTCTCTCCTCCACGTATAACCTCTACAATCAAATTTCATTGATAATAACCTCTTTTATCTGTCGAGGAATGACTGATGTGGCATGGAATCTGAAATAAGAATTGCCAGACTAGTTCTATCCTGATACTTAAGATGGTCTTTTCCCTCCACTTTAGTTTCTAGTTCTTAAAGTAAGCATTTTAGTTTCTCAAGAAGTGTTTGGATATAAGTCTGACGAAAAATATCAAAACTTGTGTGTTCCACATGTTTATATATTTTACTGCTAAACTTTGTATATCCAAGTTCCAAGCCATTGGGAAATTAAGGTGCCCATACAGCATCATTTTTTTTTTTTGGAAAAAAGAAAAAGATGAATCGACATAGGCTAAACAACTTTGAAAGGTAAGAAATTTTTTCCAGAGATTTTGAACTTATTTTCAGACCTAACCTAACCAAGTGCAAGATGAAATTTGACATAAGTAATTGGTTGAATGGAACAGCTTCAACATTCTAACAATTATTTGGTATTACCATCCAGGTCCAAGTATGGTACTCCTACTATCAGCATTCTCTTTTCAGCCACTGGAGTTATCTTCTTGTCATGGATGACATTCCTCGAAATTGTGGAGCTCCTCAATTATTTATATGCTTTTGGAATGCTTCTTGAGTTCGCAGCTTTCATAGCACTGCGGGTGAAGCAGCCAGATCTTCATAGACCATATAAAGTTCCTCTGCAAACATTTGGGGCAGCCATGATGTGCCTGCCTTCTGCTCTTTTGCTTATTCTTGTTATGTGTTTGGCTACTTGGAGAACCTTCCTTGTAAGTGCAGCAATAATTGCCGTGGGATTTATCCTTCAACCTCTCTTGGTTCAAGCAAGAAGGAGAAAGTGGTTAGCATTTGAAGCAGAACCATCTTCCTTCCTTTCCAATTGCTGTTTACAGTCTCATTCAGTTTTGTCAGAGCTGGATGACCCAGAAATTAAGGAAGAAGATTCTGTTGAGCTTCTTTCGACCTCAAAGATTTCGAATGCTGGAGAAGAATTATCTTTGATGCAGAGTGCTTCACGAGAGAGCTACTAGTTCCTGTTTTGATATAATTAGCAGCAAATTGAGAGGTCTGCAATTCACATAACCATATTTTGTGGGCATAAATCAAAATATAAAGCATGCTTCATTAAAAAAGTACTACTTATGTCCTTAATATAAAATATATTTAATTAATTTGATTAGATTAATGAAGTTAGGTAAGTTAGTTAATCATAAAAAAATATGACATGTTTTTTCTAAAATACTATAATCATCTTTCTTAATATCTTTCTTCCATCTTCTACTTAGTTATAGTTGAAGGAGTATCCATATGAGTAATTTAGAAAAAATCGATAAATATAAGAAATAGATCATATATTTAGAATCAAAATTAACTCAATAATTAAGTTTTATATTAAATATTAAAAACCGAAAGAGTATATTTGATATGTTAACGTGTCTGTAACGTATGGTATTGAATCTTGCCCCCGATGGCCAAATCTTGAAGGTATTATTTTGAATTGTATCTTTGTATCAACCTCTGTCTATTTATTTAGGGACGTTAGTGACTTTTTTTATGTTTAATCATTTCTCTTGAATTTTGTGACAGTTTCAGTTTCATCTTTTCTGTTTACAGCTCTTTGATCTATAAAATTAATATGGTAAATTTAAATCATAATCTCTCCTTTCATCCCAGGCTCCTATCATCCCTTTGCCCATCTAACGTCATTTCACTCCTCAACCAAACGCACAATACATTTTCATATGGAATATTAAACGAGGCTTACATTTTTATTTTTTACTAGAATAGACATTATGCATTTGTATAAAATCTGAAATTAATTTCATTTACCTTAGCTTGTAAATCATACTTTTTATTTTTCATATGTTACATAATATAGGAATTTAGGATTGATTCAGGTTGACTGCCCCCATGTTTGGTTTTTACGCGCTACTCCGAAATTTTTAATCATTTTTATAAAGCAGCATCTGCGACATTTATTACCTCTCTTCCATATTATCTATTGCTCCATGTTTTCGAAATTGCTGGTCTCATCTGAGGTAGAGAGAGATAATGGATTCGCAAAAATAATTTATAAATAAAACGAAGAAAACTCTTCCAAAAGGTAAATAGTTTTTTTCCTCAAAAGATATACATATTAAATAAGAATACATTTCAAAATTTATCATATTTTAATAGAAAATTAATATATTTTAAAATTTTTCTTAATTTGTATGAAACATTTATACTCAAAAGTTATCTGAAATGATTTATAGATAGCAAAAAAAAAAAAAAACCTCCATCCCCACCATATCTAACCAAAAGAGTAGATAGATTTTCCCCCCTCAAAAGGCGCATAGGAATAAATGTACAAATTTATTATATTTTATTAACAAGTTAATTCATTTTAATATTTTTCTTAAAATGTGTGAAACATATTATAAAAACCCTATAAATATAAATAAGACTAGAGGAATACATTTAAACGAAGACAAAATTGAAAACCTTCACTTCCGAAGAAAATTAATGAGCTTTAAACCTCATTAATTATGGTCGTGATACCGAAAGGGCGTTCAAGAAAATTGGAAGGAGTATGACGCAAGCATACATAGCTAAGCTTCGCCATAATTTAAAAAAAAAAAAAAACAAAGGAAATAAAGCTTCTACATACTCATCTGAGCAATTTTAAAAACAGACTGCTAATCAATCTAGCAACTTAAGCCTAGGCCTTTAATTACACGGTACTCCCTAACATGCTTGAATTCTACTCGTTAATATACGCTGTTTTATCAAGGTCAAAAAAAAAAAAAAAGGATACGCTGTTTTATGAGGAGAACAGGGTAAACAGTACATCAGAGGAGTGGAAAACTGGAAATAGACCAGGTGTTAATGCACAACTTGATTCTCCATTTTCACCCCTCCATTTCCAATCATACTGCGTTAACAAGCACACTCTAAAATGATCCTCCCTTTTTCTCCCTTGTTAATGTGTTTTTATATTTGGTAATGGCATAAAGACTTCTTTGATTAGATAGATAGTTCCATTGACCAAGTTTGTCATGTAACAACAACGTACAGTATATGCAAGTTCTCCAAATATCAATCCACAAGCTTTCACTTTGCAATCAGTCACTTTTTAAGATGAGGAAAACATGTATAAATGTCAGACTTTGGGTGCTTTGCTTCAGCATGTTCTCGACACTTAACCTCAGTTGTGGTACACATGAATGTCTGCATGCACACCTTGCACTGCATCCAATATTCATGGTAGCCCGGATTCATCATTCCAAAAACCAGCCATTTTTTACAGATGGTGATTGCAAGAAGAAAATAAACAGTCACAATTTATATTGAAGGGCTTTATGGAGTGATTCAAAGTTTCTAACACAATAAGATAACAACATCATCAAGTGATTACAAGATGCGAAAAATTTACAAGCAAAATGAAATGGACTGCTGCAACATTGGCCAACTGTTTCATGATTACAAAATGCAATAAAGCTGCCAACTTGACATTAGAAAATGTGTATTTTTCACACACAATTTAAATGATAAATCTGTCTTAAATACGTAGGTGAATCCAATCTTAAATAGATAAGAAAGCATGCTTCATATAATCATGTGCATCTGTGTGTGCGTACGTGTGTGTGCGCGCCCGCGCTACAAAAAGGAGATACAGTAACTATAGTTCTGGCTTTAGTCTCACCGAAGAAATGATCATATGATCATTTTTCAAATAGAGTAGTCAAAACGAGTTAAACTATAGCTTATAACTATTCTAAATTTGCATAGAGCAGTAAATCCAGTTCAAGATGCACGGACCGTTGCCGAGAAGTTATCAAAAACAATGAAGAAACTACAAAACAGGGAGTTAAAACGATTGGCGCTAACAAATGATTCCCTAAGCAGAACTGTAAAAAAGATATCACAGATAAAGAAAATTAAAATGGGTAAAAGAATACATATTACTATACGCCTATACCTATGCCAAGCCCATCTCATCTAAGAGAGCAAAGCAAATATTCCCAATTATAGCGGGCAATATACATAGACACTAACTTATCGGCAATCTGGAAGCATAAATCACATAATCTTGAGAATCAAAAGACTGATCACCAAAACTGAAGTCAAGGACAGCACCCCCGTTACAACCATATGAGGTAATTAACCAATGTTAAAATCCATTTCTCTGTGATCAAAAGCTGAAATGCTCAGGCAACACATGGCATACAACAAATCAAACCAAACATAAATCTATGGACAATTTAGATGGGAAATCCAAAGAGAAGCATGCAAAGGGACTACCTGGATGGTCATAGCCTTCTTGTTGGACTCTAACTGGCTTCCTAGACAATTAATTCAGCGAAAGCCACAAAATTCAGACAAGAAATAGATCGATCTATGATTTGTTCAAAGGCAAAAGACTAGAGAATATAGAGTAAGAGGGATGAATATAAACTGAAAAAAGAATACCCCTAGCAGGTTTCTGCTTCTCAAGGTTCTTCTCACGAGCCATCTTGGACTTCTGACCGTTGCCTCCTCCCATGGTCACCGGATTGAGGATAGACGACAACTGAAGAGCGAAGCAAATGGAAGTCTCGATCAAAATGAATATTTTTTAGCCCAGGAGAGACAGCGGGCGGTCAAGAGCAAGAAATTTAACACACACTGCTTAGAGTTACGTTCTAGAACCATCTCTTGCCCGCTCAAAATGAATGCTTTTCGACGATTTTTTTTTTCATTTATTTAATTTCATTTTAAAGAATAGGAAAATTTCAGGAAAAAAAATTGAAATTATTAGTTATCAATTCATGCACCTAAGAGTTAGAAATCTGTCTAATATTTTACAAATATAGTTAAATAATTAAAATACTTTAATATCATATTTGAAGGAAAAAAAAGCTATTAAATTTATTAGTGTTAGTACAATTCTTGTTATTTACTGTTTAACATTTGCCATTATCAATATATAAGTTGTTAATAATAGTTATTGTCAGTATATTTTTTATTGTTTGCTATTCAACACTTGTTAATAAACTTTTTAATATAAGAATATTTTATTCATTTAACTACATTTGTAAAATATTAGATTAGATACCACTTCCTCTCTTAAAATTCTGAAATGTTAGGTGCTTAATTTGAAATATCACATTTCTCAGCTTTTTTTTATTTGTCATTTTCCCTAAAGAATATCAATTTCTTTCCTCCAAAATATATATTCGAAGTACCACCAAGCGTTGGGTGCAGTGGTAAAGGCACCTGACACACCCCAGGCGGACGAGAGTTCGAACCTAGAGCCGCGTTTGTTGGGAGGGGTTTACCGCCTTTGGTGCAAAGTACCTTACCTGGGCATGCCTAAAAAAATAACCCCGCTCCGGATTAGTCAGTTGCCCCGGGTTACCTAGTCCAGTTTAGAAGGCCAGGGACTCAGGAAAAAGCGCTGGATACCGGGGGGAATCGCGGGGGGCCATAGGCCTCAATCTGCCCTAGATCACCAAAAAAAAAAAAAGAATATATATTCGAAGTGTTTATGGAAAAGTATTCGAACTTTATCTCTATAATATAAATTTTATATACAATATTAAAGTTCTGATAAACTATACCATATATAAACGTCATAAACAATGTAATTTTTTTTTAATGTTGCGCATATTATGCCCACTCTAATTCTCATAATTTTCCCCAAAAGAAATTCTAATAGTAAAATTAAAAATTTGTCACCCAGCATGCATAGTTTCTTGCAAACGGAATTCATTTTCAATGTTCACCTGCCATAGTTATTTATATTTTATTGTTTTTCAAATCATATAATTGATTTCTTACACCAAAAAAAGTTGAATGGTTGAGATTTAATATCTTATAAAAATAAAAATATATAATATTTTAATAGAAGTGTAAAGATGTTAACTATTTATATCAAATTTTAATAATTTAAATTTAGGGAAAATCCTAATTAAATCTGGTTAAAATATCAAAATCCAAATTAAGGTCTACACTTTTAACAAATCTCTAATTAGGCTAATAGGTTTTATTGGGAATTTTTAAATATTTTTAAAAGACTAAAATGTCCTTTTATAATTTAAAATAAGATTATGTTTTAAAAAATTAAAACATGAAAACTTGACATTATATAGTATTTATTTATACAAAATGTTTTACATAAAATTTTTAGAAATACTAAGAGCAAAAAATTGACAATGCATAATATAACATTTAATACTAATTGTGATATAAGAAATTTATAGGAACAATAATTTTTTTTTGGGTAATGGGAATAGGACCTTTTAATTATTTGATTCCAATACTATTAAATTAATAATTTTTTAAAGGAAATTTTTTTTCTTATAGTTCAAAAATTAGAATCTTAATGTATTAGCATATTTCAACATCAAATTTGTCATTTTCTTAAGTGCTCTGTTATACCTGCCATATAGATGTTCTCATCATATTATATCATATAATTTTATTGCCAAAATTCTTACTAATAATTAATATGAGTTTGTGTTAGAAATCTAAATAAATTTTCTAACATTTCATGGGACGGATGGAGTAATATGAACTTCTAAATATAAATTTATGCAAGAAAAATCATATATTTTACTCTTTTAACAACATATAGAGTAAGAACATGTGAAACCAATGATTTATCTAGTAGCATCTCAAGAAAAAAGAATTTAGCTCATAAATTGATTGGACCAATTACCAATTTGCTACTTTAAATGGATATTTTAGTCTTTTAACAACATTCAAAAATTCCTAATAAGACCTATTGTCCTAAGTAAGAATTTGTTGAAAGTGTAGGCCCTAATTTGAAATTTGATATTTTAACCGGATTTAATTAGAATTCTCCCTTAAATTTATGTATGCACATTTTTATCAATTAATATTAAAATAGTATTATTATAATATGATATTAAATGTTAACCATTTACAGTTAATAAGTGGAAGAAGGGGGAATGTCAAGGAAAGTGCTGCCTTCCCTAAGGCTCCATTTGATGTGAGGGAAATAGAAAGGAGGAAAGGAGAGAGAAAATTTTGATTAGCTCAATTTAAAAATTGATAAAATAGAGTTAAAAAATTTTAATTAATTTTTATTACTTTTTTATTTTATATTATTTTATTAAAATTTTATAACCCTATTTTTTAAAATTTTTTTAATTGAGCTCATGACCCCCCGGGGGGTTTCTCCTATTTTTCTTACATCAAACATGAGGAAACTGAAAGTCTGAAACATATATTTCCTTCCTCGTATAGAGAAAATCGCGGTGAGAAACCATGGGAATCACTCCTTTTGACCCAGAAGCTACTCGTTTGATACTGAAGTTAGGTTACACTCGAGACCATAACATCTCTGGGAGAACCCCTGTATTAAAATGTGGTGTGGTGTTCCTATAAATTTTATATTAATATTAATGATTATTGATTAATAATTTTATTCACATTAATTTTAATGTCGCTGAAATATGATCATGTTAAAATATTACGTTTATATCATATGATGCAAATTAATATAATACCTCCATTGGTAAAAAAAAAAAGAAGAAGTTATTTTCTGTTCTTAATATAATAACTAGTTGGAGATTATATATGGTTCTAAATATAAAATCTTAATATATTTTGTCTTACAAATTTATGATTCATTCTATATAGTATTGTTATGCATATTAAAAGTATTTTCATCTAAGAGTAGCCATGATTTAAAAAAATATTTTAGATAATTCAATTCATATTTATAATAAATATTTAACTTATCAAACTTTCTTAATTTATCCACATTAGTTAAGTGGCGCTCTTATATTCAAAACCGAAAGTATATTTTAGATAATTCAACTCATATTTGTCATAAATAACTAACTTAATAAACTTTCTTTATTTATCCAAATTGGTTAATTAATGCTTTTTATATTAAGAAACGGAAGTATCAATTACAAGGTATCTCATTTTCCAGACTGGGCGACATTTGCTCATATGATTTGGAGGAAAAAGTGCACAATTTGTATGATTGGCACGGAAGGCATTTACATTTAGGCCCAACAGAAGAAGAAATAAAAGAAAGCATACATACAATTGCTTAGTCAACCTAATAAAGGTGTGGTAAGCATTAAATCAGAACCTCAACGAAGAAGAAACATACAGTTGATGATCCTTGCTTTGAAGGAAAAAGGCACGTTTTTATCAACAAAAGGGAGGAAAAAACAGTCTTGTTCATATTGCCTTCATCGCTTGCCTCCTTGCCTCCTCTTCAGCTTTAATCCAGGCAGCCTAGGCAAAATAAAACCAACAGAGTCAAAAATAGAAAATCAGAGAAACTTGGGAATATCAGATAAATTTTTTTGTTAAGACTAACCTTTTCTCGCTCAAGCCTAGAGAGACTAGGCTTCATGGAGTTTCCTAAGCTTAATCCTCCCCATGCTTCTTGCAATTCTCTTTCCCTTTCTTCTCGACGGGCCTTTGAGTGACTAATTGTGTTCTCTTGTTGCTGCTGGGAGGCAACCACCTTCTCTCTCTCAAGTCTGGATTTATGTTTAATCAAAATTTGATCCAGACTTCCTTCTTCATTTGTCTGCATATTGTTGCTTCTTTGACTTCTCTTTACTAGACTTTCTTCTTCTGGCTTGAGCCTCATTTTTTCCCTCTCAAGTCTGGATTTATGTTTAATCAAGATCTGGTCGAGACCGCCCTCTTCATTTGTCTCTAAATGTGTGTTTCGTTGAATTCGCTTGACTTCGAACTTGTCTTCCCCTGACCTGAGCCTCATTTTCTCCTTCTCAAGTCTGGAGACATGCTTTACTAAAATCTTGTCCAGGCTCTCACAATCTGCAGCATTAGTTACTCCCTGATTCTTTCTTTGTCTATAATTTTCATCATGGCTTCCCAGTGACATGGCATAAATCTTCTCTCTTTCCAATCTGTGCACTGGCTTTATCAGAATCTTGTCCAGGCTATCTTTGTCATCTTCAATCTCATTATTCGCGCCGTCAACTGAAGATGGATCTGCATCGAGTTTACATCCATTTTGCTCTGTCTCAAAACTCGAAAGGTTATTTGAATCCAGGTTCTCTTTCTCCTCCAACGATCCATCAGAACAAGAATGAGAATTTATTCCACCTATGGTAGTCACATCAGCTTTCGTCTTCAAATTTTTAGTTTCACTGATCTTTCTGCTTCTCGCTTCTTGGACCTCCCTTTCGAGTCTGGAGACATGTTTGACTAAGAACTTGTCTAAGCTCGGTACTTCAGCATGATCTTTCTGACGGTTTGGCATTGAGATTCCTTTTCGGACTTATTTCTTGCCTCTTTTATGTCTTTCTCAAATTTTGAATAATTCTTCACAAGAATGCTTCCCAAGTCTTGGGTGGTCTCAGATAGAGTTCCATCAACAGATTTACGAGAGCCATCCCTGTCATTCTCATTCTCATTCCTTCTGCTATTCTTGGCTTCTTGAATCTCTCGTTCAAGTTTAGTCATTCGCTTCACTAAAAACTTATCTAGACTCGGCAGTTCTGACTCAACTTGCTTATTTCTTACTTGCCCGTCCTTGACAAAACCAGACTTTCTTGATCCCAATGTAGACATCCTTCTTGCCGGAAAATTTACGCTTGAAGAGGAGTTATTATCTGTAGCAGAGCCCAGTTTAACATTCTGTCCTTCAGCCAAGACAGAATTTAAACCGCAAGTTGCAACTATAGTGGCCAGAGATGAAAGTTCATCTTCTTGCAAACATTTTAGCCTCTCAATCATCATGTCCACAAGCTTTATTCTGTTGATTTTGTCTAGAGATTGTCTCCTCCTGCTTTTCCTCTGACTTATTCCCAGAGCAGGCACGTTTGTGTCCAAGTCTTGAGAGCTGAGGTCACCATTTTGAGAGACTAAATCATGTTCAGAGCCAGACTCAGACTCATACTCGGAGGAGAAATCATGCAGGTCTTGAGAACCATCATCTGTATCTGGGGTTTGACTAATTTTTCTTAGAAGTTCTCTGAATTCACCTTTCTTAAATGAAGGGCAATTTGCTAGCCTTATGAAAGCAGTTTTGACTGCAGCCGCTACTTCTTTGTCTACCTCAAATTCAGTTTCAAACGATGCAGTAACGGCATGGGTAGATGATCCTTCACTAGTAACAGTAGATGCCTCTATCTGGCAATGCTTCCTGGGGCAGTTTGGCATGTCATACATGATAACTCCTAGAGCCTGGGCTGCTTCAAAAGCTTCTATTGCATTTTTTTCTGCCTTTGAAAGTTGAGCTTCTGCATCATCACTGGGAATTCTGAAAAGTGAAAGCAATACAAGGTAAGATATAGAAATGTGAAGACTATCTAATCATATATTCTTATAGGGAAACATTTCACCTGGCAGCTCTTAGAATCCGACACCAAGAAGCCTCTACCAATGCAGCTCTTCGAGACTCCATTGCCTTGTGTGCCGCTTCTTTTGCTGCCATTTTCTCTCTGAGTACTTTTGAATAATGTGGATTAGAACTTCCTAGAGTCTGATCGAGTGTCAAATTCATACCAGATACTTCCTGAAAAAGAAAAAATTAGATACGTTAGCTCTTTAATTAGGAAATAATATGATTCACTTAAGAAATATGTTTCTGTTACAAACCTGCAACATTTTAATTTTCCTCTTCAAGTAGGAGTCCACTTTTTTGCGAGGGAACCAATTGACTGGAGAGGTTTTACGATGTGGAGGTTTTTTAATTTGTAGCGAGAACTTGCTAAGAGCACTTGATATTGATGGCTAGCCTCTTTGTTCTGTTTATTCTGCTCAAAATCAAAGAAAAAGAACAGCTGTAAGGAAAAGAAATCAAGCGAACTCCCCAGAATGCATATACAAAAAGACAACATAAACTGCCAGCAGTTTCACCGAGTATGACTGTCACTTTTACTTAAATTCACTGAAATGCTATCATGCCACAAAGGACACGATAAGATAGGTGCCAGCAGTTTCATCGAGTATGATTGTCACTTTTACTTAAATTCACTGAATGCTATCATGCCACAAAGGACACGGTAAGATAGGTCATTCCATGACTACAAAAAAAGTTTGCGATTCTTTCCTTTCCCTCATTTTAAGCAATGAATTCTGAACTATGAACAAACAATGAATTCATCTCCTTTATCGCTCTCCAATTTCACTTTGAGTTTTTTCTTTAATCGACCGGGAATTCCTTCTGTTCGTCCACTTACAGTTTCGAATCCGTTCAAACTTGCGACGCTGTGGTCATGCATCTAGGGCTTTAAATCCACAATTTAAACATAAGATTGATTTATTTGTTGAACACTTAGGTCACGATGAATCCAAAAGGCTAAGAAAGAACAAAACATTACAGAAGCACCAAAACACATAATGGTATCTTGACATAGTAATTGAAACGAATAGAAGACTTGCCTTCCCAATCTTGGAATTTGCGGAGACGAAGCCGCAGGAATCTTCTTCTTTAGTTCGGGAATTGCGAGAGGCCTCTGGAGCAGCACGCTGATTCTCTGACGGGGAGACACAACCGAGGTCCAAACAGCCAAGATCCATGGCGAATCCTTTCGTAAAATTAGAGAGAGATAGAGAAGAAAATATGGAAGTGAGGAATCAATCAATCAAAAAAAGGAAATCGAACAGAATGCATGCACCCTGCGAAAATATGAATAGCCGATATGGAAGTGTTTCTTGAGAGCACAGCATAAGGCGATCTTTCCCTTTACAAATAAAAACTAGCCGTTACGGTACTTGCCCCTCGCCTTCTAACGGTCCTTTTAAATTAATTTTGCTCTATTAGTTTTTTTTTTAGTGCTTTTTTTTTTTTTTTGCCATTTTTTCCCGACTCGCAAGAAGCACTTTGTTCTTTCCATACTTATTATTGACTTCTTGGGAAAATATATTCTAAATGATAGAGACAAAACGTTATATTTTGGCCCCAAAAAAAATGTTCAAATCCAAACGGAGCGTTACATTTTGGCTAGAAAAAAACAAAGAAAACGTTACATCTGTTCCTAATTTCTAGTATTCATTAAAGAAAAAATAACATAAAAAGGAGTTGAAAATTATAATACTCCAATTCAGAAACTTAAGAGGCCAAAATCTTAAGAAAGGAAGTGACGTTTGATATGGTATTTGGCAAATATAGTTAATTGAAGTATTTTGCAAATATAATTAAGTGACAAAAATGTTCTGGTATCAAAAAGTTTATTAATAAGTTATAAACTAGTAATGACAAATGTTAAATAATAAATGACAATAAATGTATTGATAATGATAAGTTATTTATTAATAAGTTGTGAATTGATAATAAAAGTGCTAAACAACCAATAACAAGAAATATACTAACAATTTCTATTATAAAAAAATATACTGGCAATGATAAGTTTGATAACTTTTTTTGAGGAAAAAAATTGATACAAAGACATTTTGGTTATTTAACTATATTTACAAAATACCAGATCAAGCACCACTTCCTCCTCTAAAATTTTGACCTCTTAGATGCTTAAATTGAAATACAATTTTTAACTTCTTTTTCATATCAGTTTTCCTTTAAATGCTAGAGAAAATAAGTTTTTCAAAAACACGCTCGAGAAAAAATATGAGCTAATGCAGTAATTACTTAGACCATAAAAGATATGACTTATCCTTATTGATTAAGAAGAAATTGAATAGCACTTTATCATGCAAATTATTAATTCCCCATTTTCTGATTTCTACTACTCCAATTTGGTTGCATAGTTTTTATATCTTATAAAAGGTTAAGGTATAAATTTGTACTAAAAGTTTTCACTTATAAGCCTTGAACAGTAACAAGTTTTTTGAGGTATACATTTGTCCTAAAAATTTTAAATCATAACAATATTACCTCAAAATTTGAAAGGTGAAAAATATTTTGAAAAAATAAAAACTCATGGGTAGATATTAAATCATCAAAATCAATGTGGCCTCAATATCGGATTAGAACTTTGATTTGTACCTTACTACTATTATGTATTGCAACAAATATGATTTAGATTAATATGAAAAAGTTCAATAAAGTTTTACATATATATGAAATGAAAGGAAAACTTTAGATTTGTTATTTCCAACGAGTTCTGGAACATAATATTCTCATAATTTCAACTTTAAAATCGGCTTTCTCATTCTAAATATAGTCCTCTTAAGAAGCTATTTAGCTTAATGTGTAAAGTTTTACGAGGTGTTTCTCTCCCTCTCTCTCTCTCTCCCTCTCCTCTCCCCCTCCTCCCTCCCTCCTCCCTCCCTCCCTCTCTCTCTCTCTCTCGCGTGTGGTTAGTTTTCTTGTTTCCAAGTCTCAACCCTGCTATATACCCGCAAAAATAGAGAGAGAGTAGGAAAGCATGGAACATATATAAACTAAAATTGTCTAATTTAAGCAAGTCTTTTTTGGAAGAACAAAGAGAATCTTACAATTCAACATGACTCAAGGAACTAATGAAACTAAAATATTCTCTAACTATAAATCACAGACGCTCCAAAAACAATGCCTCTTGGAGCCTATATATCTCAACCTAAAATTACGATTTGCACCTTCCATGTATATCATGGAAGGTGAATGGACTGCCTTCATCTATATACACAAGAAAAAGCTTAACTGGAAAGATAATTACAGGAACTTAAAGTTCAAATCACTTTCAGATACTGTTGAACTATATGCAACCTACACGTATTGCTGTGAAGATACAGAATCGCCTGAGATCTTTCATTCTCAGTGATGGAAACTTGACAACCTCCATGAGGAAGTTATCAAATCTGTAGTGGGGAGACAAAAATCCTATGTATTTCTTGAACTGCTGCCATGAAACTGAGCAGATCTCAGATCAGGCTCATCCTGCAGGGTATATCCAAAAGTGGTTGGTGGACGAAACTCCAATGGCCCCTACATAAACAGAGCTAGGAGAATTCAAAATTTTATCATGTTGAAGTTACTCAAATGAATAAATTTCCAAGTATTTTCCCCAAGAATGAAAATTTCAAAGTACTCTACCAGCCCATGAATGCTTTGCTGTGTCCCGAAAAACCCATCGTGGCCTGGGGTCATAGAATTCAATTGACCCTACAAGGATATACAAATCTGATTTAAAATGCCATGTAATCACATTACTTTAATTCATACGTATAAACCATAATTGTAATTGCGACTTAGATGACTTACAAGGCCTTGCATACTCTGTTGATTGACATAGTAACCATCATGAGGAGGCTCCATTAAGTTCAACTGTACCTACCAAAAAATCCAAGATAATTGGTTAAGCAGTTCATTATTATTTCTAAAAGTAGAAAACGTATGTAGAGGACGAAAATTAGTAAATACCAGTCCTTGGACATTTTGCTGGGCACCATAATATCCATTAAGGGTCATTCCATCCGAGCTAAGGTTATCCTAAGAGAATGAAAGTTACATAGTCAGGAGAATGTGGAATTAAATGCAATAGATCTTTTTTCCATTTTTAAAATAATGGGATCATGGGGAAGATATACATAATCTTGCTGCAATTCTTAATAAATTGAATGTTGTCTATTAAGTCCAGAAAGCCATATATGACCATAATTGAAACAAAAGTAACACAGACCATTTGCTGCAGGCTGTCTGGTGCCTCGACAAGTATCATGTCTGTATCTACTTGTACCTGTATAAGGGTTCTCAAATCAATTTTCCCTTTATTACATGCTAAAAAGCTAAAGCAACAAAAATAAAACGTAAAAGGTCTACTGGTAAGGTTGGAACTGACCTTTCTTCTCTTAGCTGGTGTCCTCTTTTTAGTTGTTTTTGTCACAATGTTAACCTGATTTTCTTCTGCTTCACGCAGGGCAAGAGAACTGTTGCTGGTTTCTGCATTATTGTTGTTAGAATTATTTACATGCACACAATTTTTCAGGGCATCAACAAGTGCACGGAAAACAACATCATAACTCTCTTCAGATAAGGATCCTTCTTCACTCAATTCAATAGCTTTTTTACACAAGTCATTATAACGTTGCACCCTAGTTTGGATCCTTTCAGTTCCATCTACCATTGATACCCTACTTTTTGCATCTTTGGTCCACCTTTTTAAAATGTAGTGAGATGGAATACTTGAACAGCCACAAAGCTGGAGAACATTCAACGCATGCCTGCAAAGGAAACCTTTATATTCAAATAATCGACAGAAGCAAGAAACTTCTGAGTTCATCTCGTTCCAAGTGACCAAAAACTCTTCCTCCTTCTCACAATCTTGAACTACAAATTTTGCAATACTTCCATCTCCACCGTCTCTCCTGGGATGACAACCAACAACACCCAAGACTTCAACTTGGAATTTCTTGAAGATCGCATGTGTATAAACAGTTGACATTTGTTTTTCCCAAGGAGAAGGAGACTTGAGTGCTGGCTGTTTGTGCAATGTATCAAAATCTGCAATAGCTTCCTCTTCATACCTATTCTGAAGAATTGTCCCATACTGTTTCACAAACTCTTTAACAGTAATTTTCTTATGAATGTATTTGTCAAAGAAAGAGTTCATACTTTCAGAGCGTTGAGCAGTAGACATTCCAGCTAAAAAGGTATCCCCCATATAAGTAGGCACCCACTTTTTCCGGTCTTCATACAATGACTGAAACCACACGTCATCCTGGAGTTCAAATCTAGTGACCATTTTCCACCACCTCATGTCAAACTCTTCATCTGTCCAAGACTTAAATATGCATTTGTTGAACTTCGGCAAGAAATTCTTATACCTTTTTATCACCATAGAAAGATTTTCAGGTATCCTATCAAGTACGTGCCAAAGAGAAAAGCAATGGCGTGCATTTGGGAAGACTTCTTCAGCTGATGCCTTCAAGGCTTTGTCTTGATCTGTGATTATGACTTTAGGAGCTTGCCCACCCATTGCTCTAGTCCATGTCTTCATCAACCAAACAAATGTTGGTTTGGTCTCATCAGCAACCAATGCACATCCAAGCAATATGGGCTGAAAGTGATGGTTCACTCCAACAAAAGGAGCAAATGGAAACTTATCATTGCTTTTGATGTAAGAAGTATCAAACGAAACTACATCATTAAAACTGACATAATCACTCCTACTTTTTGCATCAACCCAAAACAAATTTCTCAAGCGTTGTTCTTCATTCAAATCAATAGCATAAAAGAAGTTAGGATTCTCCTTTTGAATGTGCTTAAAATACTCAAGAATAACACGAGCATCTCCCTCGTCCAAAGCCAGATGTTGGCCTCTTTCAAACTGATAATTTACATCACTGAGATGAGACCCAAAGTTATGGCAGCCACTAGATTGCTTAGACATTTCAACGTACATCTTTCTGGTACGTTCACTAACAGCATGCAATATATCAATGTTATTCTTTTCAGCTAACTTCACATTTCTATGAATCCGAAAATGATATGCCAAAGCTGGTAGAAGTTCATGATTATGCTCCTTTATGAATTCATGAATTATCCACTTTCCATCTGCCCTTCTCTTCACATGCATGCAGGCTTTGCAATCTGTCTTCTTTACACTTGGCCTTCGACTGCTCCCACTATCTGACTCGGGAGTAAATCCATATCTAGAGCATGCGAATTTGGCATCAATAAATTCTTTGGTTTTCTTTGAACGCCTGCTGTTTTTTATTGAAGTGGTGAATCCCATAGATTTGGCATATTCTTGATAAAATGAATAAGCTGCTTCATGAGAATCAAATTCAATGCCCTTGTGTGGCTCAAAATCTCTGTCCCCTTCATACAACAGAACATCCTTTTTAGGGTTAACAACAAGATCACCACCTGTGTGATGCACTTCATGCAAAGCATCAACCATATTTTTACTCATTGCATCAGCAGACACACTGCTCTGGCCTGTTATTAATATTTCAACAAAATAACATCTTATCAGTACAATGATGAGATCTAGTCATAAAAAATCATAACCTACAATGACTCCGGAGAAAAAGGTAAAGAAATAATGTACACTGACGCTAGTATGCTACACATAAAATAAGGATGTTTCGTTATAATTGTGATAAATTTAACAACAAATCATGGCATAAGCTTCCGAAAGCAAGATCTCTATCAAAAAAAAAAAGAAAAAAAAGGCTTCCGGAAGCAAGATTGATAAATAACAATACAGTGTAGTGGTTCTAGCTTTGGCTAAAACATGAAGTTCCTTGATCATTTTGTACCATGTTTTCAAATAAAAACATAACAGTATGCCCTTGATGTTGTCCATCATCTTTGTCCATTAAGTTTTTTGAAACTTTTCAAACTAAATGCCATTTAAGAACAACCAATCAAAAAGACAAACCACTATTACCGGCAATCCAAAGAACTCCATGATCTTATTGATCAATCCACAATTACCTTTCAAGTTTCAATCAAGCATACATCTCTTTTCTCTTTTCAAATCACATTTCACCCCTGATAATGTGTCTTGGTTTCTCACTTGTCAACTCTTATCTACAGTTAAATTGAGTTCTAAGCTTTTATATTAGCTGCAATTAGGCACCTCCACCAATTGGTCATTAGTCTTGTTCTTGAAATCAATACATGAGATCATGGCATCAAATATTTGTTTCTTTTCCATAAATTCCAGACCACTACGTCACAGAACTCTGAGGTCAACATATGTTTACCCTAGCAAGAAAAGGAACTATGTCAAAGTTATGTCAGTAGCTTTCACTGCCAGCATTTCTATGCAAACAAAGCCTCACTAAGCAATCAAGAGAATTCTCAGTTTCTCACAAAGCATGTGAATCATCATTTCTTTACTACACAAATTGCGACAGCAGAACAACAAAATGAAGAGAGGGGAGAGAGTGAGGAAGAGAGGAAAACCTCTTGGTGAGTTATAGGTGGAATGATCACGGCCCTCTGCAATTTGAAATTTAGGCGAGTGGGAAAACCCGCGAGTGGGACGAAACGCTCGGAAATTGGGAAGCTAGGGTTTGGTGCTCACCGTTTCTCACTCGCGAAACAATTTTGGATCGGAGAGGAAATCGCCAGTTCCACTCGCTTCATTCACTCGCTCGTCTCTATCTCTCTTCCTCTGATTTCACAGCGCGTCGACGTCGTCGGCCACCTGTTAATTGGTATTTTTGTTTTTTGTTTTTTTATTATTAATTTCGGGACAATGTCTGTTCTTCCCCTACACGCGTGACGCGTGAGTCATGGTGACCCGTGACCCTGTTCCGGATGTTTGAGGACCTAGCGCGTGACATCGGGGACAAAGTGCCCTGCCGCACATTACATGTCATGATTAGGTAAGTAAATTAAATACTGCCTCCTTGTATTTATATTCTTAATATATAAAATATATAAAAGTTAGTTAATTAATTTAAATTAATTAAATTAATTTTTTAATTTAGTTATTTATAATAAATAGGTATTTTTTAAAATATTATTACTAATTATATGTATTAGTTAAAATTATTATTTTATAAAATATTTAACATGTGTAATTACTACGAGAACCATCTTAAAAAAATAGATAAATATGAAAAAAAGTGAATTAAAATATTATGTTTAAAACCAAATTGAATATCAAATTGGCTCTGATATTAAGGATCGGGGGTAGTAATAATTATAAAAAAAGTTAACACCAATTTAATCTCTAAAATTTGATTTCATTTTAATTTTAGTCTTTAACAGTCTATAATAACAAATTTTATAGTAAAAAATAATAACTTTTGAGACTTTTTTTTAATTATTTTTTTTACTTGGAACCTTATTGTAATTCTTTTTTTTTCATTCATTCATCCCTCCCTCTTCATTGGCAAGAAACTTGGCAGAAGCAGGCAATGGAGCAGGGTCCAAGAAAGCAAGGGCAATGAGGAAAAGCAGAGAGCGCGTAAAGGAGAATTGAGCGATGCTGCCCAAGTGCCTGTTAATTAATGTCCGTCCAAATCTCTCACATTTTTTCTCGGAAAAATTATAATGGAATTCTAAACAAAAAATAATCATTATTAAAAAATCATAATAATAATTTAATTAACTTATAATGACAAATCTTAGAATAAAAAATGAGAATTTATAAAATTTATTTTATAATTTTTTTTCTCGAATCTTATAGTAATTCTCTCCTCTTTATTTGAAGAAACTTCTATTGAGATTCCATTTTAACCACAATGCACGCATATTTTAGCAAATGGAATCAATTTCAGCGGTGACGACCATTATGCTCATTGTGATGAAAGAACCATACCGTATATTTTTATCTGTTTGAGTTTAAAATTTAAAAATTATTTTTTAAAAAAATGATAATTAAGAAAGTATCTTTATTTTAGATCTTGTATAGATGAAAATAATTTTTAAAAGAATAAAACAGAAAAATAAAATCCAATCCTAATAATCCAAAAGCACTTATTCTTGTAATCCGAAACAAAATTTATCTCACATAATTATCTCATATTTTGTAAATCATAATTAAAGATTTATTTTTACAATATCCTACGTCCTTCTAAATAGGCACCAAAATTTAGATGTAGGAAGTAGTAATGAGTTTTTAATACTCATCCGTATGCTCGGCACTGGAACTCATTTCATTCTGTTTTCATTAAGGTCCTATTTGCCATCACGTTTAAAATCATTTGCGAATAAGTTTTATATAAACTGAGACAAAATTTTTCTCATATATTTATCCTGTATTTTGTAAGTCAAGATTGAAAAGCTTGTAATAAGCCTTTCCAAACGGCCCTAATTCGTCCCCTTACAATCCATCCAATATGAGTAGATAAATAAAGCCACTTTTGACACTCAGCGTTGCTTGTAACCGCAGACTAATTTTCAAACCTCCCCCAATGGAACCTATATTTATGAATATGAATTTGTGCTTTTCTCAGTACTGTATTGGAACTTATTCTCTTGCGTGCATCCGTAGTTGTTGCAATAGTACTTGCATGGTCGTGATTATAAATACTAACCTCTCACCTGTGATTCCTAGCAAGTTCACAACAGAGTTTTGATCATCCAAGAGAGACTCATAACTTGGATTGAAACCCAACGCAATACATACTAATATTGCATTATTCACATATTGCCTATGGCAGTTCTCTCCGTGGCAAGAGCAGGCAGCATCGCCAAACCAAAGTTGTTGCGTCTCAGGTAATTTTTACTCCTCTTGTCCTAAATATAAGACCATTATATTTAGGACCAAAGGAGTATTTCTTTGAATATTTTCTTCAAATGCTTACCATATAAACTTCTTCTAAACGCTTATTATCGGCCGGAATGAATTGTGTGAGAAGGTCATTATACAGAGGAAAGAGTGAGCTGAGCAAGATCCGCCAGAAGGTTGAAGAAAGATGTGGGGCTTCAGGAGGAAGCTGTGAAAAGAAAGATAGCGGAGGTGACGGAGGAAGAGGAGGGACAGTGTGGGTCCCACATCCAAGGACAGGAATATATGTCCCGAGAGGGGAAGAGTGGGTTATGAAGGACGTGCCTGGAAATGCAGCCACCTTCACTCCTACTTGCTGGTTCAGAAACGACCAGATCTCAACCATCCCAACTCTTGAAATTTATTTTTTGAAATCATAATTCACTTATCTATGACACTACCTCTTATCCTAATTATAAACCTTTATTTATTGTCTATAAATAATATCTTGTAATTATGACGGGAAGTAGTTTTTTTTTATTTTTTTATGGAGAGTTCTTCGAACATCTCAATCTTATGAGCTATACTAAGTTTATGTATATGTAGTCGCATTGTCCTACGTTTCTAAATAATTTTTATTGTAATATAATTAGCCAAGTGAGAATGATAATATAATATTCCTTCTGTCCTTAATATAAGACCTATTTATCATATTTATCGATATTTTCTAAATTACCTCTATGAATACTCCATTAATCATAATCAAATAAGTGAGGAAGGGAGGATATTAAGAAAGATAATTATAGTGTTTTAAGAAAAATATTTTATATTTTTTATAATTAACTAATTTACCTAACTTTCTCAATCTGATCAAATTAATTAAATAGGTCTTATATTAAAGACTGAAAAAGTATAATTATATATAGATTGTATTTTTGGCCTGAAATTATACGTAGAGTTTGGAACTAGGAAAGTACTGTATACGCGTGAGCCACTTGGTAGCCCCGCCAACGCAATCCGACGATGCATTGGGTCGACAGGTGTACGTTATTTGAAACCGATGAGGAAATTATCGGATTCCTGCTGGTCTTATATACTCCATACGAGTGGTGGTACGGTAAATAAAAAGTTAGGCGCGTGTTACGGAGGTACAACTAGAATCTAAAATCACTATGGGCTCAAAAAAAAAAAAGGTTGAATTGCAACTATCGGAAAATTATATTCCTCCAATTTTTATCATAAGATTTAATTATTAAATTGATTTTAATTCTAAATATAAAATTTATTTTTCATATTTGTTAATTTTATATAATTAACTAACTTACCTAACATTTTTAATTTAATTAAATTAATTAAATAGGTCTTATGTTAAAAACAAAATGAGGTTTTAGAAGAGATGGATGGTTTTTATTATTAGTCACTTTATAATGTATATATTAATTAAGCTTCTTTTCGATATCATTCATATTTAGAGCCATTGATTATGAGAAAGAATGCAATATAATTATCAAAATTTTCTATTTGAATATGGGCAAAATCAAAAATTTATTCTATTTACACACAGAATTAATTAGAGTTAAAATGCAAATTTGTCTTGAAGATTTTTATTTAAGAGCAATATTGTCTCTGATTTTTTTCGGCCTCAATGTTGTGTTGGAAGCTTCAAAACGTAAAATTAAAATGACGTAAAATTTGAGGAATTAAAAATATTATTAACCCTTATAAAAATTTATGTAAAAACTTAAATATTTCTCAATAAAATTCGAAGTCACGGCATTGGGAAAAAAAAAAAATTATAACAAAAATTACAAGTAACAATGGAAATTTAACCCTGCTATATATCAATGATATAAATTTTAAGTTAATTACCTGTCACCAAAGAGGTTGAAAAATTTTGTATGTATGTAAAACTTGGTAAAGCATCAATTCTTTTCTTATTAAAAGTAGAAAAAAGAAATTAATTAAATGTAAATAAGTCGTGTGAACAAAAAAAAACACAATTCTTTTTCTAATTGAAACTAGCATTCACAATGGGAGTTTTTTTTTTTTTTATTTATCCTTACCTAAAATGTTTTGCAAATTCAAATTGGAATGTGGAGGAATGCAGAGTACAGAATGTACAGAATTCCACTAATTGTATTTCAGGAAAGATAGGTGAGGTGATTTCATTCATTCCGTCCTTTTCATTGGCAAGAAACTTGGCAGAAGCAGGCAATGGAGCGGGGTCCAAGAAAGAGAGGGCAACGAGAAAAAGCAGAGAGCGCGTAAAGGAGAATTAAGCGATGCTGCCCGAGTGCCTATTAATTAATGTCCGTCCAAATCTCTCACATTTTTTATCGGAAAAATTATAATGGGATCCTAAAAAAATTATTATTATTATTAAAAAATCTTAACAACAATTTGAATAAACTAGTTTTAGAATAAAAAATAATAATTAATAAGATTTATTTCATAATAATTTTTTTCTTTAGAATCTTATACTAATTCTCCCTTCGTTATTTTGAAGAAACTTCCATTGAGATCCCATTTTAACCACAATGGACGCGTATTTTAGCAAATGGAATCAATTTCAGCGGTGACGACCATTATGCTCATTGTGATGAAAGAACCATACCGTATATTTTTATCTTTTTTAATTTAAAATTTAAAAATTATTTTAAAAATATTTTTAAAAGAATAAAACAGAAAAATAAAATCCAATCCTAATAATCCAAAAGCACTTATTCTTGTAATCCGAAACAAAATTTATCTCAGATTTTGTGAATCATAATTAAAAATTTATTTTTACAATATCCTACATCCTTCTAAATAGGCACTAAATTTAGATGTAGGAAGTAGTAATGAGTTTTTAATACTCATCCGTATGCTCAGCACCGGAACTCATTTCATTCTGTTTTCACTAAGGTCCTA